AAGAAAATTCAATTCAAAAAAAAAAGGAAACACATATGGCCAATAAATATTAATATAAAGACGTCTACAACATCATTAGTGATCAAGGAAATGCAAATCAAACCAAAATGGGATATCACTTGTACACCCATTTGATTAGCAAAAGTTTTGAAAACATGACAATACAAAGTGTTACGGAGGATGCCACTCCACAGGATCTCTTATACACTGCTGGTGAAAGTACATAGTGGTAAAACAAATTTGGAAAACAATTTGACATTATCTCCTGAAGCTGAACATCAACTTACCCTATGATCTAAAAATTCCACTCCTAGGCGTGTATGTAGCCAAGATGAAAGTCTTATATATGTATGACAGTAGCAACTACAAAAATAATCATGGCACTACTGTGCACAATAATAAAATCCTGCAAAAAACTCAAATGCCCATAAACTGTGATTTATTCACCTAATAAAATATCATACAGCAGTTAAAAAAGAATGAATTACAACTTCATACAACAATATGTATGAGTCTTAGCAATATAGTAAGTCCTCGCTTAATGTTGTAATTAGATTCTTGGAAACTGTGATTTTCAGTGAAACAACATATAATGAAACCAACTTTTTTCTCATTAATGTTATAACAAAACAACATTATCTGAGGTCCTGCTGTGCACTGCTTCACTTGAAGTCGAGTTTCTAAGAACCTATCACAACATTAAGTGAGGACTTACTGTATAATATTAAACTTTTTTTAAAAAGTCTCCAAAGGGTACATATGACATAATATCCTTTTATAAAGTTTAAAACAAAACAAAAAAGATACTTTCTCAGGAATACATATAGATGCAATAAAACTTTATTAAAAGGAAAGGAAGGAAATGATCAGCAGAAAAATGATGGTTACTTCGGTTTGGAGGAGGCAGAGGCACAGTATTCCAAGGACCAATACAGAAGTAGTATGCTGTCAAATAAATTGCTGCTGTAATAGACGGTCCATTTGTGGGTGCTTATGACATACATTATTAAAAATAATTAAATAAAATGGGCCATGCCTGGACTAATGATGAGAGTGTCCTGTCATAATACAAGAAGTATAATTAATTCAAAATCAATTATGATTAATTTGTACCCGAGGTCTTAAGGCTTAAAAAAAAAAAGAAAGAAAAAAAATCACAGAATTCTGAAGCCAGGATTCAGATCTGTTTCAGACACCCTTCAGATAAAATTTAGAAAAATTTTATACAATACTGAATGGAGGCAATAATTTTATTTTAATATGCTCAAATTATTTTATAGTTTTTATTTATTTAAACATAGACAGTTATATTTTATATATAAACAAGATAAACCTTTTGAAAAATAGAGAAATGTATAACAAACAGATATACTCTCAGGAATATTCTAGTATATTTCCATTTTTCTATGCTTGTTTACAGGAGTGTTTCATAAAGATAAAATCATATTCTTTACATAATTCGAAATCCTATTTGTTCATATAACATTGTTATATGTTCCTTCTATGCTTCTGATTCATCTTAATAACTTAATATTCCAACATTTGTGTAAAATAATTTTCTTAGCTATTATTTTATTGATGGTGACTTAGACTGCTTTCCAGTTTTCCACTATTATAAATAATTATGGGATAAACGTCATTGGGAACAAATAATTTTCTATATTTTTTATTATTTTCTTGGGCTAGATTCCCAGACACAAAATTATTAATCAAAGAGACTAACATTGCATTAGTGAGTACTTACTTCATAGTAAGTGTAGTACATGTCAGACACTGTTCTAAGCGCTTTACATTGGTTAACTCATTTAATCCTCATACAGAACTCTATGAAGTAAGTACTATTAATATCCCCATTTTACAGATATGGATAGAGAGGCACACGGAAGTTAAATAATCTGCCCAAGATCAAATAACTTGGGCCAGTCACGATGACTCACACCTGTAATCCTAGCACTCTGGGAGGCTGAGGCAGGAGGATGGCTCAAGGTCAGGAGTTCAAGACCAGCCTGAACAAGAGCAAGATCCCGTCTCTACTAAAAATAGGAAAAAATTAGCTGGACAACTAAAAATATATAGAAAAAATAAGCCAGGCATGGTGGCGCATGCCTGTAGTCCCAGCTACTTGGGAGGCTGAGGCAGAAGGATTGCTTGAGCCCAGGAGTTTAAGGTTGCTATAACCTAGGCTAACGCCACGGCACTCTAGTCCAGGCAACAGAGCAAGACTCTGTCTCCAAAACAAACAAACAAAAGAATCAAATAGCTTGAATTCCAACAATATGATTCCAGAGTCTATGTTCTTAGTTACTAGGCTATACTCTATTTGTGGAGGTAGGGAAAAAAACATAATTATTGATGATAATATTATTAAATACAGATTCCCACTAAACTACATATTGATGTGAGATGTTTGTGGTACTCTGATCCTCTAGTCCTCAAAGAAATCAATTCTAGTGTTTCATCTATACCTTACACCTATAATGCTATATCCGTTAAAAAATAGAATACTAAATCATCTACAATCAGTGTGGTATATTTGGCACTTCCCCCGCAAAATGTGGCTAAATTAATTAAAATTCCACCAATCTTGTGAGAAACTATGCTTTATACTATCCCAAAGATTATTTTAACAAATGAAAATCCTTTCTTTTCCAACCATTCTGAGGATATGGAGACTTGATTTAAAAAGCTAAACTTACCTTTTCGTACCCAATCTCCAGTATGAATATTTATAGTCACGCCCACTAAATTACTACTTCGTTGTCTTTTTTCCCAGAGAAAATCAAGAGCTTTTCTTGCATATTCCTATAATTAAAAAAAGAAATGCATATTTGAAGAACTGCATGTATTTGACAAGTAAAAAAACCAGACAAAAATCAAAGGCCCATAGGATATTTTAAGAACTAAGTAAAATTAAGATAACCATTTACAGTATAAATCTCCTTCAAAGTCAAATCTTGGCTCTTTTTCAGCCAATTAGTATACAGTTAAGAACAACTCTGAAAATGCTATTTAGTGGATGTCTCACTTTGAGACCACTCATTTCATCTACTCTTGCAGTACAGGTTCACGTTCACATATGTATTATTAAATTATATCAATTGCTGGCATAATCAGATGTACTTATTAAAATAATTTCCATCACTTAAATGCAAAGTGAAAACGTCTTAGATACTCTTATTTAGAAAATTGGAAGAGAATTTCAAAGTTGACATGCTATCTCTGAAACAGTCATTTCAGATTTTCCTTTTTAAATGGTATGCAAGTTTGTTAGTGAAAAGCTAGTAAATCAATTAGGCTAGTGAATATTTATTTGATAATACCAAACTTATAACCTTATGATACCATTTTTTTCTTTTTCTCCTTTATTTTTATCAACTGGACACTAAATGAAAATGAGTTCTTAATCAAATTATTGGCTTTGGACTAAAAGATGCTACAAAATATAAAAGCAAAGGGCATGCACAGCTGAGTTTCTAAATTAATTTCAGAGCGTGAATCTACTTAGCACTGCAGAAGTACTTCGGTGAAAGAAAATATCATTAAATCAATTTGTCACTTTGCAGATTTAACAATAGCGTATACAATAGCTTTAATTCTTGACTCAACCTATTTAGGCTGATTTCCTTTAAACAAAACAGGTTACAACTTTAATTAAATGGTGGAATTTCAGAGCCAGAAAATTTCATAAAGATTATATCCCCTACTTTTATTTTACAGCTATGAAAATAGGCCCAGTGAAATTAAAGATTTAACTGAAGTTTAAAATTGAATTTTAGGACAACAAATATGAGAATTCAGATCTATGTATATATTAGAGCAAAGGTCAGCACACTTTTTCTGACAAGGACCAGATAGCAAATATTTTAGGCAGTATGGGTCATATAATCACTGTCACAATTATTCAACTCTGTCACTGTAGCATAAAAGCAGCCATAGGCAGAAATAAACAATTGAACATGGCTGTGTTCCAATAAAACTTTATTTTCAAGAAACAGGCAATAGCTGGACTAGATCCACAGACTGTAGTTTGCCAACCTGTATTAGACTGATGCTCTGTCAACCGCATCAGGTTGCTTCTCTGACAATAAATTACCATATACTCAAAAAGTAAAAAAAAAAAAAAAATCATGATTTTCAACACATTTACTCATAAACACAAAATAGCCCAATGGAAAGAGTATGGGCTTTGAATTCAGAAAGACATGGATTCTAATCCTGATTCCACTCATTCAGCTCCTAGCTGCATAGGTCTCTTATCCTCTTTGAGCCTTATTTTCCTCACCTGTAACTGCATCAATATCTCAGTTTGTAGTTCGTATTAAGTTAGAAAATATGCTAAAGTGTCTACACTTTTTAATGAAGGGAAAATATCAGTCAAAAAGGTATAGAATAAGAATTTAAGTTTAAAAGATTAACCAAACGTGATAAATCTGTCCTCAGGACATTTGAACATACAGACATACACACACACAAAGACCATTTAACTTGTTCTCTTTATAGTCATATCCAGTGTCTGTAGCTTCCATCTGGAAGTCAACCAAAAAAAACACAGGGACACAGTATTTCATATAAGACATTTACGATATCAAGGAGCCATCGAACTCATTTAAGTAATATGGGTAAAAAAATCTTGTAAGATAAAAACCTAAAAATTTACTTCATAGTTTGTGAACAAAATGCAAAGTTGGATTTAACATAGCTCCATCACAATGACGTCTATGTTTCTGACAATTAGAAACTATGCAATGAAATTTAGACAAAGAGTTCACTGAAATAACAGAAATTTTCCAACTGATAATCCTAAAATGTAAACAATGAAGAAGAGATATAAAGTTAGCTATGCCCAATACCCGGGAGATCAAAGACCATAAAAAGCCAACCTCAAATATTGTTGCTCCTGTGAATCGACTTAAAGCTGCAAACTCAAGGATCAAGGTACCTGCACAAGCTGTACAGGTATCTGTCTCAGTTCCTGTCCGAGCTTCCGGTTTTCTGATGCCAAACTTTAAATTAATCTAAATATAATTAGAAGATTATCATTAGCAATTATCAAGAGATAATGACTTCCTGATAAGAAACTACCTTCAATCAAGACTTTTATAAAGTAATAAAAATAGTTCATAAAACAACACTGAAATTCAATCTGATAATCTTTATGACTTTCCAGTTAACATCTAGGGAAATATATTCTAAGCACATAATACTCGTGGAGTAAATAAGTTTTTATTTAGTTCCTTTCTCTATGATATCAAAGCTCAGTATCACCATAACAATTACATAGAGAAAATATCTTCTACAATACTTTTGTTCTCTGGACAGTTTGACCTAGTAAGTACAAGAATAAGGGAAATAGACCAGCCTTGAAATTGCATTTAACTTAAAA